CAGTGCGCATGTTGACGTGCGCAGGACCAAGGATGTTGACGGGATGGGGTCGCGTGTGGTTGTGAGAGATGCATGACGCAAGGCTTTGCTTGGCCATGGTAACGGATGGTAACGGTAGTTGTGCTGGTGGCGGGTTACCATAGCCACTGCCTGAGTTTCGATGCCCACCGCGCTGCTGAGAATTCCCGTCTGCTCTGCAAGCCTGTGTGTAAATTCGGTGAAACCTCAGGCCAGTATGGCTTGTCCCCTCTGGCATCGTATTCGAGGGGGTGTCGCCAGCGTTCTTGTACTTGATCCAAAAGGAGCAGTGGTCTGTGTTGGATGTCATGAGAGGCGGTAGCATCCTGGGACACTTCTCCAGGACTGTGAGAAGGGCCACTTTTTTCCGAGCCCCGCGCTGAACACGTTCATCTTCCAGCACCTCGTAAGCGCGTGTGAGTATGTCAGAGTATGTGATCAGTGTGTTATCATTGGCCCGTGATCATGCTCACCATCAGCAGGCACAAGGAATCGAACTTCCAGCCCTGAGCGGAGTCCTTGGGAATCTGTTCTTGACGCCGATAGCTCGATCTCAGATTTGGAGCTTTGGAGCGCTGCTCAAGTTCTGGCTGCAGGAAGGCAAAGTCCTGGTGATGCCACATTGGCCACCACGAGCTCTGATGAGGCTGCGTGGGGTTGGAATCAGGGCGGAAGAGCCTTGTTTGGGTGCTGTGATGTCTCATGTGAGGACGGGGTGACGAAATAGAGACAGCCCGGCTCAATCAGAAAGTCTCCTTCGATGACATCGCTTCTTGACAGCATTCTAAGCCTTTAGACACCCTACCATGCCGACACGGCTGCGCTCCATTTGTGTGCGTCGCTCTGAGGTTGGAGTTGCTTTTCCCAGAACTTGCGCCGGGGCCCTGCAAACCTCAGATCCTAGAACTTGCTCGGTTCCAGCGATAAGCAAAGGCTTTTCATGAAGATGAGACGTTGCTTTGTCATAATTTCCACCATCATTATATTCGCCTCCACATTGATTACATATTATTTTTGTCATTATATAATATTAATTAGAAAAGATTTTAATCAAACTGCTCTAAAAACTCTTCTTGTGATATTGGTAAATTACCCGCTTTGTTATGAACATGGCCTATATCTTTATACGAATGATTTCGTAACGGGTCTAATGTTCCTTTGTTTAATGTTAAACTGCCTTTATCGAACATACTAACGGGGTCGCCCTCTTTTCGTATTCTTAGGTTTGTCCCTGTGTCTTCTGGTCTTTGACTTGAAACAAAAGGCGAACCATAACTTCTACTTCTAAAAATATTACCATAATCATTATTCGTTTGTTGTCCTACCGCCGAGCCTAAGCTATGGCTTATTGTATCAGTGATACCTGTTAGTTTTTTAGCGTCAAGTTCTTTTGTCCCGTCTTTAATAAATTTATCAACGTCCTTATATCTTTTGTTTGTTGTGTTTGATACAATGGTAATTTTAAATCGTCATAAACATCTCTCCCGCTTTTTGTTCCCGCTATGTATAAAATAGAACCATTTTGATAAATCCCTTCTGGGTTTTCATGAGCAAGTCTTAAACCTTGCGTATCGGTTAAAAACGTTTCGATTCCTGCTAATTCTTCCCTAACTTCGTCATTAATCTTATTTCTTGTATTAGGTGCTTCGTATAATATACCTTCATTTCTTCTTTTATGTTTGCGCATAATATATTAAATTAACTTATAAAATTATTTTATCAATTAATTAATAATGTTGAAGTTCAAAAAGGTATATATCGATAGTAGTTATAAAGTCAATGGCACTTCATCCGAATTTACGATAGACTTACCCGAAACTGTCCAACTTGAAGATAATATGTTATGTCAAATACATGAGGTAAGTATTCCGCATTCGTGGTATTCAATAAACAGCACAAATAATAATATTTATTGGAGGCATCAAGTTATACCCCCTCTGGTGTTATAGCGGGTATTACTTATCGTAAAGTAACAATTCCCGAAGGTAACTATACAGCGGTAGATTTAGCACAAACCATACAAATAGCGATTAATCTATTAGTGGATACAAACGACAGACCTAACACATATTCAATACATTACAACACATCAACTAACAAATTTACAATCAGTTCCAATTATGCAACAGTTAATTTTTGTTCTTCTCACTGATGGGGAAGTAGCACCATTAGCTGGTAGCTTTAGTGACCCCGTTGATGTTAATAACTTATATTCATTAAACCGCGTGATTGGTAACACAACCCCAGCAACTGACGCTTATACTAATGTAGCACCTTATACAACTAATTGGGACATCATTAACCTGAAGGACTACACATTAGAAGTGACCAATGAAAAGAACTGCTGTTGTAAATGCAAGGATTACAAAGAACACAAAAATTACTGTGTCATTGACGAGTTTCAATTACCTGATGTAATTTCAAGTCAAATCTTTTCTTACACTTATCAATGTGTTGCATGTAAGGAGAAAAGTCGAACAGTCGAGAAGATAGACGAATTAGAAACGATGACCAACCCAGATAGAAGAGAGTATAACAAGTTGAGTTTGCTATCATTGATTCGTTGTGACAAATTGAGAAAAATCAAAACCGAGAACTGGATACCGATTAAACAAGCGATGTTGAAATTTCAAGAACAAGTCTATGAGGATGATGATTATGATGCCGAAGACAAACCGAAAATCTGTAGGCAACGGTTATTGAATAACTACGGTAACATTTTACACATTCAAAAGCATGGAAATCGTTACATGTGTAGTTCTGAACGATTAGACGAGATTGATTTTAACATAACTGAAGCACCTAAAAAACATGACAGTGCTTGGCGTAATGACAACTAAAACCCATGCTAAAAGGACTAACTATAACACGGGAAGCCCCAGAAGGTTGAAAAGTTGGGAAAAGACTGAAACGAAGAAGGGGGAGACATGGGGAAGAAATTAGGTTTATTGTTGCTATAAATCATAACAACAACAAACATTCAAACAATGATATGGGAAGGACTTTAAGAATATAGGAACGCATAAGGTGGATAGATTAAATTTTGGGAACGTTGTTATTTGTAGGATGAGCGGAATGAATGAGGTAGATTGTCCTCAGAAAGCCCTTAGGATAATGGATAAGGTGGGAAACGAGAGAAAACGAATGAGGGGATGGTAAAAAGTTGGGGACAAAAATTCGGCGGGAATTATCGGGGAAATGGGCTTAGGAAATGCAACAGGTAGCGAAAGAACATAGAACTAAATGAGGGGGCAGGGTCAAGAAAAAGCAGAGCTGGGGGGCAAGTGGGTAGCGATATAACCATGAAGCCTTAGCCTTTGAAACCCCCTTTTACATATTTTTTTTGGGAGGGGGCCCTCGACGTCGATGGATGGGGGTAGAGAAGGAACGGCCCTTGAAGAGGTGGACGAGGCAGTGTGTCCATAAGGTTTTTGGAACTCAAGGGTATGAGGTTTGAGGTTGCGGGTTTGGGCTTAGGGTTTAGGTGTTCAGGGTCTGCGCAGAGACAACGGTTTTTCACTAACGTCTCCCCCCCCACCGTGGGAGGGGGGGTCGGCGGATATCATACAACTTAGACCTCATCCCCGGTTGCGCACCATGCAGCGCCTTTCTGCAACTCAGGACAAAAAGCCGGGGGATGCCAAAGCACCCATGGCCTTCAAGCTTGCGACTTGCCGCACCAGCACGTGCTTCCACAAGTTTCGGCAGTTTGGGTTTGGGTTTTGTGTTGTCCTCATATAAGTTGTGGTAGGCTTGTGTTGCGCCGCCCTGTGGCTAGCGTTGCTCTCAGACCGGAGTCTTGGTTTAATGACACGAGACCCTTTTAGAGAGAATCCCGAGCCTCGAGAAGAAGAGAGGTGATGGCGGCTGCGGAGAAGCTGGGCTGAATATGTCATTGTCATCGTCTCTGCGCAACGGTTCGTGGTGGTGAGAGCCTCCCTGTTGTGCAGCAGCTGATCGCTGATGGAAGAGCTGCTTTCGGAACCCAGCAGCGACAGCAGCTTGCAGAAGGTGGTGCCCTGCACGGGTCACCTTAAAAATGCTGTGATGTCACGTAGCAAGCTTCAGCGGCAGCAGTGGGTGTCCCTGTTGTTCAGATTCCTGCGCCATGAGCCCTCACGGCCAAAAAGAAGTACAGGACTTGCAGATGCTTTGGCGGAAAGTGCTGAGTCCAGATTATCACGAAGGGCTCATGCGCTGTGCCGATGCGGCACTGCTAAAGCCTGCCCAATACGCCCGCCTAAACAGTAGAGCCTGAAACTCTGAATTGCTTGCATTGGCGAGATGTTTAGTTCATGTCCAGTTATGATGTTACGACTCGACCACGGTGCAAAGATGGCGCATTCGGCCCAGAAGCGCTCGCACTTAGTTTTGCCTAGTGGCGCGGCAGAGCTAGTCATGGAAGGCGGCAGCTGCTTCCCCCAAGTGCAGTGATTTGTGTTAGCAGCCAGCCGTTGCTGCTCAACAGGCTCTCTTGATGAGGCCTGCTCTCCGGGGTTCCAGGCCTTGCCCAGTGGTGCTATTCAGATGCGCGTCTGCTGTTGTCTGAAGCTGTCGTCAGGCTGACAAGAAAGATTGGCTAACCGACAAAGTGTGGTCCTGAGGTAAGTGCCCTGTAGCACCTGAGTGCAACAATGATAAACTTCTGATGAATCTGTGGTTTGGTGATTGTGCACAAGGAGATTGGTGCAGCAGCTGATCCTGGTAAGGATTCCAAGGCATCGGAGATGTGCGAAACTAATGCAAAGCGAGCCCCAAAGCGAGGGCTCGGTTGCAGGAACGGGAACTCCAGCCTTGGGCTGCGCCGGGTGACTGCGATGGCACCTTGCAGGCGCGGAGCTTCGCGGACCTTCGCAGAGTAGCAAAGTATAGCAAAGTCGCTGTGAACTAGCTTCCATTGGCTTTCATTCAGGAGCTGGCCACTTCAGGCGATGAAATCAAAAGTTCCGCGCTCACGTCAGCCCAGCCGTCTGCTATTGTCCATGGCTTCTTGTTCAGGTCACTGGGACCAATTCCGAGCCAATGCAGAGATGTTTGGATATGTCTCCACCTTTAAGGCTAGGCTTCGCATGGTTGCACTTTTACTGGTTTCAAGCGAGAGACATGTTAAGACCTTGTCCCTGTCAGGAAGATCTATCCCAGTATTCGACGATCATCGATGTTGACAAAGTGCCAGCCCATGCACGCATGAAGGCTGAACATCTAGCCAGAGAGATCGAGGACTGCTACAGTAGAGGCAGGAGTTGATCTTGCAGAACCTGCTTTACTTGTAGCTCCGAAAATTACGATTGTTACGATTGCATTGGGTCAGGTCACGGTAACCATGATGATGAAGCTCCAGGACGAGACGAAGAGAGTCTGTTTTCGGCGGTGTCGCCAGGCTGTGCTGGGGTCAGTGGCGTTAGGGACGAGGCTTCTATAGTTGCAAGATGTGAATGTGCGCATGCCAGGGGCGCAGATTGTCGTCTGGGTCCTGGAGCATCCTGGAGGTGTAGGATTGAGGCTTTCATCAAGGTTTGGTTAGGGTGCAACTTCAGAGTGTGCGGAGTTTGGGCCCTGAACGCGCGAGATGGATCTAAGGCTGAGAGCTTCCCTGCCTTGGTGGAGACAACGGCGCCGCCGCCGGGATTTAGGGCTTTGAGTTCTAGGGCTTAGGTTTCGGGATTCATCATGTTGTTGAGGTTTTAGGGTTCTGTCGCGCCTGCTTTTGGACCAGGACATCGAGAAAACAATTTCCAGGGTACAGAAAAACCATGACGGTTGGGCAAAGCTCATGGACGTTCATGGGGGGGGGGGGGGGAGTTCAGGATGCCTCATGGACGCTCATGGGGGGGGGGAGGGGGCATGAGAGTTCATGCGGTTGCAGAACGCTCATGGACGGTCATGGGGGGGGGGGGGCATGAGAGTTTTTCATGACGGTTGGAACAACGCTCAGGGACGCTCATGGGGGGGGGGGGGGCATGAGAGTCAGGACGGTTTGGACAGCGCGTATGGACGCTCATGGGGGGGGGGCGGTGGGCATGAGAGTCATGACGGTCGGACAACGGTAATGGACTCATGGATGGGGGGGGGATTGAGAGTTCATGACGGCGGGGGGAAGGAATGAGAGTTCATGATGATAGCAGAATCTCATGGACGCTCAGGGGGGGGGGAGGTGGGGGGAGGGCATGAGAGTTCATGGACGGTTTGGGACAACGCTCATTTGGGACGCTCATGGGGTGGGGGGGGAACCAAGGGAGCGTCCCACGACCGACCGTGACGATCAATTGGTGGGGGGGGGGGGGGGGGGAGGGGCATAGGAGTTCAGAAGAGTTCTGCAACGCTCATGGCGGGAGGGGGGGGGGGGTGACGGGGGCATCAGAGTTAATGAGGGTTCTGCAAAGCTTCATGACGCTCATGGCGGCGGGGGGGGGGGGGGGGGGCATGAGAGTTCATGAAAGTGGCAATGTATATGGACGTTTAGTGGGGGGGGGGGGTGGGGCGGGAGCATGAGAACGATCATGGACGGAGGGAGGGGGGGGGGTGGGAGGGGGGGGCAGAGGGGTTCATGGAGCGTTTCTGCAACGCTCATGGACGCTCATGGGAGTGGGGGGGGCATGGTTTCAACGCTCATGGACGTTCATGGGAAGGGGGGGGGGTGGCGGGGGCATGAGAGTTCATGAGAGTTCTGCAACGCTCGTGGACGCTCATGGCGGGAAGAGGGTGGGGGGGGCGCATGAGAGTTCATGAAGGTTCTGCAACGCTCATGGACGTTCATGGGGGTGCGGGGGCATGAGAGTTCATGAGAGTTCTGCAACGTTCATGGACGCTCATGGCGGGGAGGGGGGGGGGGGGACAGACAGTTCAGGAAGGTTCTGCAACGCTCATGGACGTTCATGGGGGGCGGGGGGTGCGGGGGCATGAGAGTTCATGAAGGTTCTGCAAGGCTTCATGGACGCTCATGGCGGGGAGGGGGGGGGGGCATGAGAGTTCATGCGAGTTCTGGCACGCTCATGAACGTCATGGGGGGGGGGGCATGTGAGGTTTCATGAAGGTTCTGCAACGCTCATGGAGTTTCATGGGGGGGGGGGGTTGGGGGCAGAGAGTTTCATGAGAGTTCTGCAAGCTCATGGACGCTCATGGCGGGGAGGTGGGGGTGGGGGGGACATGAGAATTCATGAAGGTTCTGCAACGCTCATGCACGTTTATTTTTTATTTTTTTTTTGGGGGGGGGGCGGGGGGAGGGTGCGGGGGCATGAGAGTTTATGAAAGTTCTGCAACGCTCATGGACGCTCATGGCGGGGGGGGGGGGGGGGGACATGAGAGTTCATGAAGGTTCTGCAACGTGGATGTTCTGGGGGGGGGTGGGGCATGAACATGAGAGTCTGAACGCTCATGACGCTCTGGCGGAGAGGGGGGGGGGTGGGGGGGCATGAGAGTTCATGAAGGCTCTGCAACGCTCATGGACGCTCAGGGGGGGGGGGGGCATGAGAGTTCATGAAGGTTCTGCAACGGCCCATGACGGTGCATGACGGTTGGAAAACGTCCATGGTTTTGGCGTACCCTGAAGAATGTTAAATCGGACTTAGGGGTCTCAGGGGCTTGAAGGCTTCCAGAGTCCTCTGAAGGCCAACAAATGGAGGGTCTAGTGCACCTTTCTCAGGATTCCGGCGCAGCGGCAGCAGAACAGAGAACTACCAAGCAAGCTTTGCGGCTTCCAAAGGCTTCTAAGATAAACAAAAAAAGGGTGTCTGGAAGACACCCTGGTCAAAACATTCTAGCATATACTATACCCTAAGGACCATTTCATTTGCGTGGCTTGGCCGCCTGTCGCGGAGAGGGGTGCAATGAAAAACGGATTGGGCCATCCACAATCAAGCCCATCAGTAGTCGATGCACTCGAAACGACCTTTCGCATAACTCTTGCCTGAAGCCTGAACGTTAAACCGCCAGCTCTAAACCCCTAAACTCTAAACCTAAACATAGAGGAAGGTCACGTTTTTGAACGTGTTTCGAACGTATAGAGGGAGGGCAAAAGAAAAAACAGAATGCAAGGAGCAGGTACACTCAAGAACCCCTGCCACTTACACCCTCAAGAAGCCTCGCCACTCAAAGCCCCGCCCCCGTCCCCCCCGTCCCCCCCCGCCCCCCGCCCCCCTCTCCTCCCTGGTACCCCCGAAACCCTCAAACCTTGCGTAAACCCCCTAAAGCTGAATCCGCCAGACCTCCAATCTTCGGCATGTGGCAGACCTGATGAAGGCTGTATAGGGTCCATCTTAGTGCTTCCGAACATGCACGCGACAATTTGTGGAGCTTCATATAGCTTCGTTGTTCTGCACAAGGCCACAATGGCCGAGAACGCCATGCTGAAGAAGGTCTGGCCCTCGTCGTTGCCAGCAAGACCAGGTACAGTTTTTTTAGGCCAAACATGCTGAAACAGATTCCACAGCACGTCGTACCCTCACAGCTGACGCTCACCCGAGGCTCACCCCGATCCACACACACACACACATGCGAGCTAAATATGAGCACAAACTCATGACACGACACCGACAAGCACGCCTGGGACACGCCTCCTGTGGACTCCTCCTTTAGCTTACCCGATGAGGCAAACAACCCCCTATCCCAGGCCGCCGATCGATCCCTGAATGAGAAGGTCGGTAGAAAGGATTACTTGCCCACAATGGGCAGGTTCCCTTTCTTTAACAAATGAGCAAACCCAACATAAGACAAACAAAGTCCATCCTGAAAGCTTAAACCATAACGAGCTCTGTCTCAGATGCAGCGTTTGTGAGACATGCAGCCACCGCCTCAAAGCCATATCCTGGCAAGAGTTTCTCAGCCTAAGGCCGAACCCGGAAAGGCATTGTCTTGCCCAACGCTACAACTTGACTTCCACCGATACCATGCCCAGACTGTGTGCGCGTCGTCCGGGGCATCAAGTTTCGGTGCATTGGAGGGCGAGGCCAGAACGAGCCATTTGGATCCGTGCACAGCTTTGGCATTTCCGTTCCCGAAGGTGTTCAAGCCAGTGCAGCCTGACTGGCCGTTGAGTCGCTCGGAGAAGATGGACCTTGCCATTTCGTACTACGACAAGGCGCCGTGAACAGTGCAACGTTTGTGTCATGCCTTCTTTTGCTCTTGGAAATTTTAAAGAAAATAGTTCGCGCAGGAGTTGCAGTTGCAGAAGGCTCAGCAGGTGGATGTGTCGTCGATCAGTTTGCCTCAGCTCCTTGCACGCACTTGCGCCTGCGTGGTTTTTGTCCTCAGCAGTTTCAACTACTTCGTTTGTGGATATCAGCCCAGGGTTGAGCCGCCGAGCTCGAAGTGGTCGCGCAGAGACCGAAAGATGTTCGCCCGTGGTGCTCAAGCACAAAGGGCTGCTGATCAAGGCCGTTCGGCAGTGCGAGTTTTGGACTGGTTGGACAGGTCATGCTGACAGCTATCACGAATGCTAGCCTCCATAGGCTGACTGAGTTTCTTTTCAAGCGACTTGGGGTGTGCGGGGGGATGACTCCGGGCAGTGCGTGAGCAGTGCGTGGAGTGTAGAATTCTTTGACTAGACTGCACCAGGCGCAGGGAAACAGCCGGTGCCACGGGGCGCCATTTTCCGATCCTATGTTGAGCTGCGTTGGATTCCCACATGAATGCCACCACTTTTCATGCCTCGAACGTTAAATTGACACTCCATCCCTGGTTAGACCCTCGAATGCACTTTTACACGTTTAAATATACATTTAAATGCCAGGAATCAGGACGTGTGTTTTTGGTTTTTCGGCTAGACGGCTCGGAATTGGCCACCTGCGCTCTGCCGCGTCAGATCTTCCAAAAAGCGCAGACATGTTACAAAGCTGCGCCGGAATGGGATGTCCCCATTTGGCTTTTTGAATTCGGACGGCTGTTGCGGGCATCGCTCACAGGCCCATTGAACCTGTACGCCAGCAAGTGCGTGTGTCATTACTGCTAGACGGCGCCAAAGCTCAGGAATTGGCCGGCTTGACATTGCTTGTTTTGCAACATGGTTGGCCGGTGTGTTGGTACTGCTCGTCTCTCTACAACTGCCCTGCTGCAGCTAAGACTGGTACTCATGCAACTCCTGTAGTCTAGTCCGAGCCTGACATAAGTTTCATTCCAGTTTGGATACTTGGACAGGTGCCGTCAACAGCATTTTGTCAGCCTTTGTGGACGCCGTGCTGGACTCAACGTTGGCTTCGTACATGAAAGGGCCGCCTGCGTTTCGGATAGGCTGTTTGCAGCATGTGCAAGGA